AGTGACACCCCTGTGTGCCTGACAGTCCAGAAACTTCCTTCCTGGGGTCTCCCCGTCACTGCATCCATCCCCGGGGAGGACACCCCACGTGGGAGGAGCACAGGGGTTGGACAGCGAGAGGTATCCGAGAGTTCCTCTGCGGGTGCCATCAGCTGCTTCTCTTTTTCCAACTCCGGGGTATTTTTAAACCCACACTTGCAGTGAGAAACCTGCTTCTGCCATGTGCCACTGAACTGTGAGAACCTGCTGGATGGGTTAAGTGAGACTCTGACTCACAGTCTCGGGGTGCTGGGGTTACAGCGTCCTGGTAACAGAGCCTGTGTCGCTGCCCCTGCTCAGCCACGTGGATCCTTCACTTTGGTCCCCAGGGAAGCTGGGGACCTCATAGGGAACCCCGAGGGCTGGCCCCGCAGGCCCCAGGAGCTCGGACTCTGAAAGGGGGGGGGCGCTCCTCAGCGCTTGGAAAGGAGTGTTTAACTTCCCTCGACCTCCTGAAAGACTGGCCTTGACCTCACCAGATGGTGCTGCTGCGGCTCAGTGAATAGAGGCACAAGCCGGAACACGAGCCCGTGGCTGGGGAAACAGGAGGGAGCCGCCTGCCCTCTGGCTCCTCGCTGGCACGTGTGCACTGAGGACAATGACATCACTCCCGACAAAAGCCCTGCAAAGTAGGGATCACCGTGCCGGGGGAAAACCAAGGCTCAGAGAGGTTTTGTGACTCGTAGAAGGCTACACATAGCTAGTAAGGGACCATGCTGGGGTTTGAACTCACTTCTGCGTGGCTCCAAAGTCCACATCTTAGGGTGGACGGTAGAGCATGGGCTGCCCAAGTTCACGCCCCAACGGCATCAGCCAAGCTCTTTAATCCTCTGGGCCTCGCTTTTTGCAATTGTAAAATCAAGCAAAGCAATAAACCTACCTTACAGGCCCACCGTGCATGGAAAGGCACCGAGCAGGTGCTGAGCGCTCACTGACCGCCCTGGGCGATGGGGGCCATTGGAGCCCAGCCAGCTGCCCCCCACCCTGCCCAGCGGCCCAGACAGGTCCCCCTGTCCTTGTCCCTTCACTTTCTCCCCCGACAGCTGCCTGGAGGCTCTTCCCAAGGTCTCTGCAGCTCGCTCCCTCCCTCCTTCCAGCCTCTGCTCAAATGTCACCTGCTCACCAAGGCCCTCCCTGAGTCTCCCTTTGGAAAATGGCAACCCCCCCACACACAGCCTGACCCCGCTTTGTCTTTCCACCATCTTGCAGGCAGCTATGGATTGTCCTTCTCCAGCACGGCTACCGCTCTTTGCGATGCCTGCTCTTAAGGGAACAGGGGCCACTTTCGTCTGTTTTCTGCATAGCTGTAACACCAGTGCTTCTCAGAAGAGGGCTATTTTGTGCCCTACCCGGGGATATTTGTCAACACCTGGAGACACTTCAGGTTGTCACAATGGGTATGGGAAGGTGCTACCGGTAGCTAGTGGGTAGGGACCTAGGATGCTGCTGAACATCCCACAATGCAAGGACAGCTCCTTCCCCACCAAACAAAAGAGCAATCAAGTCGAGAATGCCAGTGGTACTACAGCTGTATCTCCATTACTTAGTACAGTAGGTGGTACGTGCATACTAGGTGCCCAATAAATGCTTGTTGTGGAAGAATGAAGAGCCTCTATCACCACTGTTTTCATCATTATTAAGAACAGATATGGTCAAGGATAATCCTTAAGAATGGTTGTCACATGAGAGCTCATGGCCAATAGGTCATACTGTGACCTGTGACTTCTTCTTTTTGGTCGGGGCTCTGCCCTCAGGAGCGCCCAGAATGGGCTGCAAACTGCTCCTTGCTGGGCCATCGTGAGCAGGACCAGTCCACGCTGTGAAGCCCCCTGAGAGCTCAAGTGATGCCAGCCTGGCCCAGGGCTGCCCAGCAGGGACTGTCAGTCCTCACCCCCTTGTCACCCCAACACTTGCCCCCACACTGAAACACTCAGGGCCTCGTGCTGAACTAGGCAAGGAGTCACTGCCACAGGCCTTTCAGGGTGACCCCAGCCAAATCCTGCACCCCCAGGCCTCTCTCAGCCCAGGAGACTCGTGGGTGCAGTGAATTGTGCTGTTTGGGCTCCTTTCAGGAAAGGGCAGAAAGGGGGTGTGGGGACATCCAGGGAGGCACAGGAGTTGAAACCTGCCCTTGTCCAGCACAGCCAGGAAGGGGATACTTTATTATCTTGCTGACCTAACAAATTACAATTGACATTCTTTTTTAAGAGATGGGGTCTCGCTATGTTGCCCAGGCTAGTCCCAGGTGTGAGCATAGCTCACTGCAGCCTCCAACTCCGGGGCTCAAGGGATCCTGCAGCTTCAGCTTCCCAGTAGCTGGGACTACAGGTATGTGCTGCCACACCTGGCAACCACTGACAATTTTCAAGAGCCAGTGCAAGCATCCCAGGCTCAGTTCTCACCCCCTTGCAAACACACAGAACACCTGGGATGCATGAAACACAGGCGGCAGTATTCTCAGGGGAGAGTGGGGCAGTATGAGAGGGAAGGACTTTTTTGCTTTGGGGCCTATCTCACCTCCAGAATGGGCTGCCACAGCCCCGGCCCCAGCCACAGGCCCGGCACTGGCACCCAGCCCATGTTCCCACTGAGAATTCCCACTTGAGATTCACAACTTTCCCTTCCTGCTGCCCGCCCCTCCCAGCTCCCCAGGCCTCTGTCCCTGGGGCCTTCTTGGGCTTGGCAGCTGGGCCTTTTTCTGCAGAACTGTGAGGCTGGCAAAGTGCAATCTCCTCTCTCCCGCCTGCCCCTCTGATCTTCCGCCCTCTCCCTCCCCTCTCCAAGGTCCTGAAAGCTCCTAAACTATCACTGATACTAAGGCTTAGTAGCTGACATAAGTGGGTACAAGGCCATGAGCTAAAGGAATGAGTCTCTAAGGGTGGAATATTAGGCATTAGATAGTTAGGTCTAGGGGAACAGGATGATATTTGGGGGGCAGGGGCTTTCCTAGTGTCCCCTGCAGTCACATGTATTTGGCCCCAATTCTGCCAGGGAATAAGACTGGCCCCACTGAGCTGGCCACTGTCATCTGTGGCCTTTCTTTACTCTCACAACACCCTGCTGCCCCCATTTTACAGGTGAGGAAACTGAGCCTCCAGGCTATTCTGTAATTTGGCCAATGTCACACAGTCAGTGACAGAGCTGGGTTAGGAGCCCAAGTTTTCCACAACAACCAGAGGCCATCTCTTCCAACCAAGTGTGAACAATGTGGCCAAGCTCCCCTTGCCCCGTGTCCCCTCCCCGGCCCCAAGTCACAGAACCCCAACTTACAAGCCTGAGAATGGCAGAGCTCTGGTGGTGCCAGGGTTGCAGCCAACCAGGATGCTGGGGCTCTCGTGTCACCAACAGCCTGATGCATGGCAGGGCCACTTCCCTATCTTCTGTGGAACTGGACACGTGTGGACAGGGTAGCCCTCAACTACCCAGTGTACCCACTGCCTCCAAATGACAACAGGGAGATGTAAGTTTGGGGTTGGGATGTCTCTGGCACCAACACAAATTCCACCCACTTAGGCACACTGGGGACCTGGCTGCGAGATGGGATGCCCCCGGCTACCTCCAGACGCCATGTCAGCAGAGAAGATAGGCATAGCAGCAGCGTCTCAGGCACCAGGAGACTTGGACACGAGGGCCTGGCTTTCAGGTGTAACAACAAAGAGGTGTAACCAACCCTCCACCAAGGTGCCTGTGGTCCTGAGATGTCTTGAAACCAGGAAATCAGGTGCAGTCCAGAGTCCCCCACCCTCATGCGCAGTGTAATCCTGGCTGTCAATTCATCAAGCCCCGGGGTTTGTGGAGATTGAGGGGAATGGGCTTGAGGTGGCGGGAAGGGGACCCTTATCTTGTGGTCCCTAGGATGGATGTGGAGCAAGAGCCAGCGCTGGTGACAGTTCGTGTGTGATATCTGTCAGAGACAGGCTCCCACTTGGGGACCTTGTCCTGGGTCCTGCTCTTGCCCAGTCACTGATAATCCAGTGCAAAGTGAGCAAATTCCTTCCCTTCTCTGAACAAGAGCCCCCTCAGCCATAACCGGGGCCACCCATGTGCCTGGCAGGTTCCAGGGGTCACGTGAGCGCCCCAGCACAGGGTCAGCACTGGAGAAGCTGGTCAGAATACCAGCCTCTTTCCTCCCCGGCCAGGTTCCCGGGAACTCTCTCAAGTCCCTTTCAGTCGCAGGAAGTGATAATTTGATTTCACTATAAAATTTTTAACAAGCTGCAGCTTCGTCAATTGCCTAATTAGGATGAGAGCAAAGAGACAGATCAAGTAATTAAAGTTGGGGGGGGGCGCTCTGGAGTGACTGGGAAATGTTCCGGTGGGTGCAGGGGTGTTGGTACCTCACACCCAGTATCTGCAGGGCGTCCCCATCGGGCCACCCCCTTCTCCCCAGCGTGTCCATCTCTGCTGCGTGGCTCCCGGCACGGACACTTCCTCCTCCCACTCGCCCGGGCATCCTCGCTGTCCCGCGGCCAGGAGGCAGGAGTCCCGGACAGGCAGGTCCCAGCCGCCCTGGGGGGCAGTGAGGCCACCCCGCAGGCTAAGCAGGGAGGGAGCTCGACCTGCTTGGACCCGGCAGCCCAGCTCAACAGGTGGTGGTGGGCTTTCCCTTCGTGCATCCTCAGGATCATTTCTGCCAGTCCCCCTCCAGTGGGTCGTGGGGAAGTCTGCCCTCAGCTCTGGAGTGGGCAAACCGCCTAGCAGCGTCTCGTCATCACCACCCCCACGTCCCCGCACATCCTTGAGACAGACAGACAGACAGACAGACACACACACACACCCCCGCCCTCCCACCACCCTGCTCCTTCCGGGCGGCGCGCGCGGGGGGCTCTCTGGCCCGCGCTCCCGGCTGCGCGCTAACGGGGGACAGCCCGGCGCAGCGGCCGAGGCACCGGCGGGAGACCGTCCCCCACGGCCCCTCGGGGACTGGAAAGCCGCTCTCCCCCGCCCTTCCAGGCTCTTACCTCGCTGGAGCGGCCGCGACCCCCGACCGAACGTCCCTCGCCGGCTGCGCGCGCGGGCCGGGAGGTACCGCGCGAGGCTGTCCCAGGCGCCCGCCCCGTCCGGTCAGCCCGAGCCGCTGGGCGCCAGTGACCGTGGCCGCCGCGGCTGCAGCTCGCGCCCCGGACCCTGCGAGGGAGGAGCCGGCGGGGGCGGGGCCGTGGGCGGGGCCGTGGGCGGGGCCGTGGGCGGGGCCGTGGGCGGGGCCGTGGGCGGGGCCTCCCCGCCCTGCGCCGCGGGCTGCGGGAGGACTTGGGGTCCGCGTGGGTGCTGCGGTTCCCCCGAGCGGCGAGCGCCTCTGAAGGAAGAACCCTCGTGGGTTTGCGGGCGAAGGGTGGGGCTGGGCTGCGAGAGGAGAGGCCACCTAGAAGGCTCTCTGGCTGAGAACCCTGCCTTGAGTCAGACTTACCTCCAGATTCCAGCTGCTGCTTTTTAATAACTGCAGAGGAGGAGGAGGAGGAGGAGGAGGAGGAGGAGGAGGAGGAGGAGGAGGAGGAGGAGGAGGAGGGGGAGGACAGAACGAAGCCAGCCGGTATTCGCTGAGCACTTGCCGTGTGAGCGTGCCAGGCGTTGCTCAAACAGCTTTGCACGCCTTAAGTCATTTAACCCTCATACAAATTTTGTTTTACTTATGAGAAAACGGAGGCCCAGAGAGGTACAGCGATGTGCCTAAGGACACACAGGCGGGAAATGCCCGAGCCAGGATTGCAGCTGGGCTGTCTGGCTCCAGAACTGTGCTTTTAAAGCCCCGCTATGCTTTTTTCCCTGCGTGGCCGCGAGCAAATTGTTTCCCCTTCCAAACAATAAAATGGAGATATATGCACAAAAATGGCCACAACTAACATTCTACAATTTCTTCTTTCTGCAGCTTCTATGTGCCCTGTCGTCTCTGGGCCCTGGACACCCAAGAGGTGCTCAACAGATATTTGTTAATTGGTGGTTGATCTGAAAGCTGCAGCCAGGGTAGCCTAGTTAGCCAGGGTGAGGAACCCAAGGGTTAACCCTTCCTGGCTTGAATATTTTTTCCCATCCTCATTTCTCTGAAGTGGCAGCCTGACCAATGTCCTTGTCCAACATACGTGTGCAACTTGCTCACTGACCACAGTTTCTGCTTCTGCTGCAGGAGAGAAGGGCCCCTGCAAGGATGAGCCACCCGGACGTAAGCCTGGCCTGCCAGGCGGTGGGAGCTTCCTCTAGAAGGCCTGTGAAATTCCTACAGACCATGGGGTAGTCAAAGGTGCAGAGTATGGACATGTTTGGGGAAAAGTAGATTGCAAAATAATGAGACATCAGCAGTGAAAAACTGTAGGCAGCAGCGTTAAAAAGCTCCTATGAGCTGAGGTCTCCTGACATGGAGGGACATTGCCATATGGGAGGGTGGTCATGTGGAGTTGGGACAACTGAAGGGTTTTAGAAAGGATACACCAGGTTTCTATTCACAGCATTTCAGGCCTATGAAATTCCCAGCTTTTTCTCCCTTTTCCCACCTACTCCAAGAAGGTCTCTCCCCCTGTCCCCCAGAACTCCCTGATGGAGAGGCCTCACCCCATTGGTGGGGGTCCACATCTCTCAGTTGGGTTGGGTGACCACCAATTTCTCAACCTCCTTCATCCCCAAACTCTTCCAAATGTGCTGATTCCCTCTGCATGGCTTGCCCCCTTCTACACTTGGAGAGCTCCTGTACATCCTTCAAGACCTTTTTCAGTTTGCTCCCTCTGACCCAAGAATTGACTTCTTCCTCTTCCCCAGGACCAGGAACTTCTTGTCCAGCTCTTGCCAGTGTGGGAATGATGAATTTACTGTCTGTCTCCACACCTATGCAGTGAGCTTCTTAAAGGCAGAAGGCCCAGCACATAGTAGTGCACAGACAGTATTTGCTGAATGCATGACTATAAGTTGGATATATTTCCCCAAGACTAAAGCTGTCAAGGAGAAAACCACCAAGCAAAACTCGGGTGGAGCTGGATCAGTGATATGAAAAGATGAAATCGGCACAGCAGCCAGGAAATGCACCTTCCTCGAGGTCTGCAATTAACATTCTCAGAAAAGCCAGAAAGGCTGGCCTGGGATCCGTGTCCTCCTGCAGGGTCACCTCTGCTGGGCAGCAGCCATGGCCTCCAGCATGTGCCTGTATGCGCTGGTGGGGGGGAGGGGCTGAAAGGGAGCAGCCGGCCTGGCCGGGTGGGCGTGGCTAGAGGAGGGGTTTTCTTCCCTCCCAGGCTGATGGGGGATCCAAGAATGTCCACTTGCTTTCATCCCCTCTGTGATCTGTGTGACCCTGTTCTCTGGATCGTCTTGCAATGCCTGTTGTGAAGTAACAGATCAAGTGCCTACAGAAGACACCCTTTAAAAGGGAAACTAGCTTCCAGGAGTGCTGAAGCCCCTCCCCCATCTTCTGCCCAAGACAAGTGGAGGAGACCTCGGGACATGGACATGGGTGACTGAGATAAAAGAGATTTGGGTTCCATGGAAAGAGGTCTTCACCTGGCTCTGCCCCAACTAGCAGTGTGACCTTGGACAAGTTACTTAACCTCTCTGAGCTTCAGTTTACCCCTTTATACCCAAGGCTGGAGTCCTGGGTGCATGACTTATGCAGTCCCACAGCCCTGCTCTTACGAAGGTTCTGTTTAATGATCTGCTTTTGCCATCCTGAAATTCATAATCAGTTTTAAACAGGGGCTGCATTTTAATTTTTGCACTGGACCCCATGAAATTATGTCACTGGTGCTGGTGAGAACACCAGCGTCACTGGGTTGTTGTGATACCTCCACAAGCAAAGGTCTGAGGATCTGAAATTACAATGGAGAATGGCAAATGGTGCGGGGGAGGGCGGGGGTGGGAAGCAGAGGAGATGGAAGTGAAGAGACAGGTTGGGGTCAGAGTGTGAAAGGCCTTCTGGTTCTTGTTAGGAGTTTGGCCCTCAGGCCGGGGGAACCTGTGAGCAGGGAGCCCCGGGAAGGGAGGGTGGGTGGGCACAGAACGCATCCCTACCCCGGGCTCGGCGGCGGACTGTTCAGATAATGAGACAGGCAGTGCATGGCGTGGGCGGGAGCCCCGCTTGGAGGCTGCCAGTACGGCGGGTTTGCAACGTTTGCTGTAGACATAATGGGAAAATGCTGTAGGTGTAAAAGCCAACAGCTGTGCTTGGGGACTTGGGGACTCCAGGCCTGATGAATAATGGAGCAACCCTTCTTCCCCGTGTCTCTTTTTCTGTCCTTTCAATAATTCATGTATTCCCCATTGGTTGAGGAGTTTCATAAAACCACGGCTTTCTCTGAATCCTGGGCCAATCTGGGCCAATCCGATGGCTTCATGCATTAGGTCTAAATTAGAAACACACACACACACGTGTGCATTCAGCTCCGCAGAGTGGGCCTTGTGTGCGTGACAAGGAAGATGGCCAGTTATGTCTGGAAGGAGGGAAGGTCTTCCAACTAGGCGGCTTCCTCCCTGCCCTTTGGGGGTGCAGGTGGTGACACGTGTCACTTGCAGGCAGAAGCTTTCAGAGCCACTGGGTGCTGTTGCCACCCTATTCTCCCTGCCTTTGGGATTGTGGAGACAGGTGTCCTCAAGGCTCTGTTATTCCAAATTCCCATGTGATGACAAGACGTAGACCCTCCTTGCTGACCTCTGGTAGACACGTAGCACGAGCTCTGTGTACCTGCGAGTACACCCTGACGCATCTATTTAGAAGCAAGTGGGCGACACTCCCAGTATAGCTAGGAGTGGGCTGGGGAATCCCAAAGAGCAGATGGTCATCGTCACTGATGTGGGACGATCAATACAGGTGAAGGCAGCCTCCGTAGCGCTGGAGATGGGGGAGATTGGAGCTTGCAGCAGCCCCAGGCCAAGTTTGAAATGGGCATGACCTGAAGGTGTGCAGGGCGTGTGGGGGGGTTGGTGGAGGAAGGCCCCATGAAGGTGGGAAGGTGGAGGTGGGCAGAACCGGGCAAGGCCAGAGCAGGGGATCTGGGCTCTGTGTAGAGTGCCCCTGTGGAGGATTGGCTAATAATAATTTTAATACTTACTACAACTAGTATGGACACCACGCCACACACTCTGTGTGTTAAGCCATTTGGTTTTCATACAACCCTATGAGCTAGGACATGACTAGCTGCTATTTCCACATGAGGAAATGGAGGTTTAAAGAGGTCATTTGCCCTAGAAATGGCCAAATTATAGTGCTCAGAGGCAAAGAGCACATTTAGGCTCTGTCCCCATCAGTGTCACCCATGCCACGAGTGGGTGCGACAGCCAGAGTCTTTAGGCCGCTGTCAGGGCCCAGGCACGTGGGGCTGGCCTCAGCTGGGGAGCCGGGGCTGTTTCAGGGATGTCTGTTGTCGGGATGACTCGGCAAACAGGGAGGTGGAGGCGACAGGGTCAGCGGCCAGGAGGCACCAGGAATACTGTGTTTCAGAAAGCAGGAGAATGTTCTCCATGCTTCGTCATGAAGGAGGCCAGGTCACCACGTGGCACTTCCTGTCTGAGCTGGCTGACGGGGACCTGGAGGGTGCGGCTGCGCGTTTGCCCACCCTCTCTTCCACACCATGGCTTAGTCCTGTACGTTTCCTCTTTTTCCCTTGGACTTGGCTTTGCCAGTGCGTGTTGGGGTGGGGTCTCCAGGAACACAGGCTCTCCCTCACCCCTCCCTTCTTTCCCCACCACCTCTCCATTCGGTCTGAGCTGTTCCCGGGGCCCCCTCCCAGCTAACACCCCTCTCCTGTCCACAGCCCGCTAAGTGCGTGCCTCGTCAGGGCTGCACATGGAGCCTGCTAAGAACCGCTTTCATTTCTTCACTGAGAGTGTGCTCTCCCCTGTTCTCGATGCAGCAGAGTGTGAAACCCGGGATCGTTCACGCAGCCATCCGCGTCCCTGCCGGGTGACTGAGCCGCCGCTTGTACTCCCACTGGCTGTTCACGCTGCCCTCCCGGCTGCCCCAGGACCAGCTGTTCAGCCTCTGCGCTCATCATGTGTCCCCTTGGTAACTAGATTATCGCTTATGAAACAGTTCCAAGGGCAAGGGGGCCCGGCACCAGAATGCAGACTCCTCTGCACGTTGACTGCTGAGACAGTTACAGGGTGTT